TACACTTTATACCGATCCAGGAAAGTATATCGGCTGAGAAGTTGGCCGATATCTACATTCGGGAGGTTGTGGCATGGCATGGGGTGCAGGTTTTGGTGGTTTCTGATAAGGATTTTCGGTTTACTTCCAGGTTCTGGAGGAGATTTTATGAGGAGTTGGGTGCTCGTCTGCATTTCATCACGGCTTTTCACCTGCAGATTGACGGTTAGAGTGAGCAAACTATCCAGATCTTGGAAGACATGCTTCGGGCATGTGTATTGGATTTTGGTGGGAGTTGGGACACATATCTTCCCTTGGAAGTGTTTTCATATAACAACAGTTATCACACCAGCATTGATCGACCTCCTTTTGAGATGCTCTATGGGAGGAAGTGTAGGACCCCGAGGTCGATCAACAGGTTATGGGTAGTACGGAGGTGGTACTTCGGATGACTGAGTTGATTCAGCAGGTTCGTGGTTGACTTATGACAGCACAGAGTTGACAGACGAGCTACGCAGATAGACGCCATTCATACATAGAATTCCAGGTTGGGGACATGGTACTCCTGAAGGTGTCATCCGATTCAAGAAGCGGGGTAAGTGGGCCCAAGATATATTGGTCATTTTTGGTATTAACCCAGGTGGGTAGGGTTGTGTATTGTTTGGATCTTCCATAGGAGCTCAGTTAGATCCATAGCACTTTCCACGTCTCTCAACTACGGAAATGTATGGTCGATGATTCCGTAGTGGTTCCATTATAGGACTATCGGGTGGATGATTGTATGAATTATATAGAAAGACAAGTGGCAATCCTCAATAGAAAGACAACGAGTCTACAAAGCAAGGTGGTGGACTTGGTAAACGTGCAGTGGCAACACTGAAAGGGTTTAGAGTGGACGTATGAGCCAGAGGATGAGATGGGGAACCATTATCCGAAGTTATATCCATCATTGGACTTCGAGGACGAAATCTGATTTAAGTGGGGGAGAATTGTAACGATCGAGTTTCAGCTACACTTCAACATTGGAATTGGTTAAAGAAAAATTTTCATTTTTGGTCCCTAAGTACGTTGGGCGTAACATGGAGTACGATGGGCGTACTCCCTTAAGTGGGTCACGTGTGTTGATGGCGTACGCTGCGCGTACCCATGCGTACGTTGGGCATATGTAAGCAGACAACAAACCTAAATTTTTAGGGTTTGGCCCCTATTTAAATGCCATTATGGACCTTAAGGCTGCCCCTCATCAGCTTCCTTCCCTCTAAAGACTCCCCATGAAACCCTAGCCTCTCCTTGTGTGTTCTTGAGCCTTGGAAGTAAACGTTTGATGTTTTTGTGCATTGTGAAGAAGTATGAGCTTGGTGATCAAGCATTAGTTAGAGTGAAGCTTCAAGATCTAGAATCTTCATCATCTTGGCAAGTCTTAGAAGGTATAAAGTTGCAACCTTGTTGATTCATCTCTTAGATCTATATAGTTTGGAGGTCTTGGCATATTTTGGTCCCTTGAGTTATTTCTTATAATTATAAGCTACTCCAGAAGCTTATGATGTTAGATCTTAGTGTTTCTGAGGTCCCTTGTGCACAAAAATGGTAGCTTTATGGGTTTAACCCCACCATGCAAGAGTTGATGCTCATTTCATGAGTTTAAAGTGTTAAAATTGGGTTTTAGGGCTTATTAAACCATGCATAAGCTTAAAGCTTCCAAATTTATGGATTAAGACCATGCTTTATAGTATATCTGATGTTTGGACGAAAAGGTCTTAAGGGATTAAGCCATCCAAAGAAGGATTGGCTCATAGACCAGTACGTTGGGCTTACTTCCATGTACGTTGCACGTATTAGGTTTGAACCCTGTAACTTGGTCAAGAGTGAGTACACGAGGCATACAAGATGGGTACGTTCAGTGTACTCCAAACTGTGAGTTTAGAAAGTTTGGCCATTTTGGGCTTCGGTTGCTTTTGGGTTGGGTCTTGGTTTTGGGCCGATTAAGGGAAGTTGTGAATTAGCCTTTTTACCCTAAGGAGTCGGTTTTAATAAATTATATTCCTAGTTATGGTTTATGACCTAATTATTAGTTAGGATATTATTTGACTGACTAGTTTGGGGATTCTCTGGTCCAGCATCCCGAGCATCAATTTGTTTATCAGCGGATCATGGTGAGTTTGCTCATTATACTGTAGGATATTAGGGTAGTATGTGCTTGTTGTCTTTGTAAATCTTGATGTATGTATGTATTCTTGTTTTCTATATGTATGTGGGGTAAAATAGACTCAGGGGTGAAATAGACCCGATACAGCCTTAAGCTGTCATTTGAGTTGAAATAGACTTGGGGGTGAAATAGACCCGGTACAACCTTGAGTTGTCATATGAGTTGAAATAAGCTAGGGGTGAAATAGATCCGGGGGTGAAACAGACCCGGTTCAACCATGAGCTGAGATTTATGTATGGTATGTGGTATTTTTGGGAACTCACTAAGCTTTGTGCTTACGGTTTTCAATTTATGTTTCAGGTACTTCCACTTTATATGATTCTGATGTACTTTTGGATGAGTATTGACATACTCTGGTTTCCCTTATGATTTTTATAAACATGTTTGGTTAATTGTGTTATTAAAACAAAAATTAAATTTTTGGTCATGAATTTTTGGGACGTTACATGGCATCTAGTCTCACTTGTTGCTTAAAGGCCTTAGCTGAATTGAAATTTGAATAATGTAGAAAGGCTCACTAACCAAAGTTGCATCATTTTCATGAGCCCTTTGTATGACTCTAATAGTTATCCTTCGCTTACCATCATTTCCCTCGTCTAATGAAGACCCAGACAATAAAACCTCTATGCCGATCACTTCCAAGTCACCTTCTTGTGTAACTTTATGTACATTACTTTTAGAAGAACCTCCAACCCTTTCTGCATCCTTGTCAATGTTCATATGGAAATCTTTAATATCTATATCAACATCATCTATGAGATTTTCCTCATCAATAAGAAAATCACTATCTTCACTATCATTATCATCATCAAACTCATGATCATTGCTATTGTTGTCTCCAAGTTCCTCATTGTCCAAATTCATTTCTAAATCAACATTGTATGTACAATTCTCATGGTTAACCAGTGATGGTTCTTTATATGATTCTGATGTACTTTTGGATGATTATTGACATACTCTGATTTCCATTGTGATTTTTATAAACATGTTTGGTTAATGGTGTTATTAAAACAAAAATGAAATTTGTTGGTCATGAATTTTTGGGACGTTACATGGCATGTAGTCTCACTTGTTGATTAAAGGCCTTAGCTGAACTGAAATTTAAATAATGTAGAAAGGCTCACTAACCAAAGTTGCATCATTTTCATGAGCCCTTTGTATGACTCTAATAGTTTTCCTTCGCTTACCATCATTTCCTTCGTCTAATGAAGACTAGACAAAAAAAGCCTCTATGTTGATCACTTCCAAGTCACCTTTTTGTGTAACTTCATGTACATTACATTTAGAAGAACCTCCAACCCATTATGCATCCTTGTCAATGTTCATATGGATATCTTTAATATCCATATCAACATTGTCTATGAGATTTACCTCATCAATAAGAAAATCACTATCTTGACTATCACTATCATCATCAAACTCATGATCATTGCTATTGTTGTCTTGAAGTTCCTCATTGTCAAAATTCATTTCTAAATGAACATTGTATGTACAATTTTCATGGTCAACCACTGATGGTTCTTTGTCCAAGTGACTAACATTCTCAACTCGTGTTTGGTCTAGAACACTATCATTCTCAACTTGTGTTTGGTCTGGAACACTCTTATGCTCAACTTGGGTTTCGTCTAGAACACTCTCATGCTCAATTAGAGAGTCATGCCACTTCAAGAACAACCTTTTGGAGCAGCTAGTGGTTCTTGAATACCAACAATTCTAGGTTTACTAGGATTGGGGGACATAGAATATGTATGTAAATTTGTTTTCCCGTGCTCAGTGTATACGCCTATTAACTTATGGTTACCAACATACGTACCCAAATGGTGAACATCCTGATGAGAACCTAAAATCCAAATCGCCAAATGGTCTTAAAAAATGATAGTAGAGCAACGTATTGTCTGAATCAAATGCCCAAGTTCCTCCATCATCTCGTCAATTTCGTGAATGGAAAAGGTGTCAATGTCTACTAAATCAACGTAATTTTGCCTACCATTGATGTACCTTCTTCTAAAGAACCGTGTAAACTGTCCACCATGGTGTAATCGGATAGAGAATGTCGTAGGATGTCCAACCATAGATTGAGGGGAAAGATCAATCAGTTAAATTACTAACATATTGAGGGAAATTATGAACACTTACCATATCTGCTAGCAATGCCAATCTCGTCCATGGTACAAAAACGTATCTTCCAAGGCGCCATCGTCATCTTCAAATGTAGGGTTTTCTCGATCAAGGGTTTTCAATTGGGGTGTGTGAAGGCTTTGTGTCCGATATTAGCTTTAGCATGAACAATTCATCTTATTTCTCAGCGGTAGAACGTTGCTAATGTAAAATGTCAAATATAACGCCAACGTGCAAGGCACGATAGGTGTCTAACAGAAACAATTGGCAGAATGTTATTACAGGGACCAAGCGTGTCACATAATTAAAACATGAGGATGGTCCGAGTTTAAAAAAAAAAAAGAAAAAAAAACTTACGGACCAAGCGTTCAATTTATACTAAACCGTAGGGACCATTTGTGTAATTTTCTCCAAAACATATTTTTTAAAAGTTTTTTATTATAAAAAAACTAATGGATAAATCATAGCAAAAGTAACAAGTATTTACGAGATATTGGAGATGCTCAAAAAATTTTGATTTTTTCTATTTTTTTTAAGAGAATCAAATTCCCATTAAACGATTTTTGTTTACAAAAATAAATGTAAAACATGAATCACATTTGTCGGATATTTGGTCTGTAATCCTGATATCTCGCGATTCTTTCCAGTAATCCTTCCTCACACTATAAAACCCGCACCACCCGGCATTCATTCTGTATCACATCATCTACACACTCAACTCTTCTGATCTCTCAATCTCTCCGTCAGCAATGGCGCTCCGGCGAACCCTAACTAAACGTCTCATCAAAGACCAAACGCCCTTCATAGATGATACACCTTTCACTTCTCTCTCATCGCACAGAGCCTTAAATGCAGCCAACTCGAATCTCAAACGCGACCTGTTGACGTCGCCGGAGAACTCTTCTCCCACTGCGGATGCTGGATTCTTCCGGCGGTTTCTCCAGCGGAGAAAAATCAATCAGTCGTCGACAATGAGTCTGCCGGAGTTGTTTTTATTTCCGGTTGGCGAGAAACTAAGGGAGAAGCTGAACATATCTAGCGGAGAACGTCTCAGGCTTGATGGACTAAGGAATCCGGTAACGGGGCGTCCACCGGTTTCTATCGACTCCGTCGGAATATCAGTGAATGATGCGAGGAAGATCCTGAGGTTTTCTCAGTTGCAGAAGGTGAGATCTGCGTTGAAACAGATCCCAACGAATTCGATTAGCTACTCCGAATTTCTCACAGTCTGCATTGACATTTGTAATAATCACGATCAAGGCTTAGAGTTCTCCAAAATGTTGGATGAAGCCGGAGACGTCATTGTCTTGGGAAACGTCGTGTTCCTCCGTCCCGATCAGGTATCAATCAAACTCTCTCAAAAACATGAAAGAGAATTGAAGAATCGATTACCCAATCCTAATTTCAGAAAACAGAGATTATATATCTTCCATATTTCGTAACTGATACATCTGTTCTTGCTTTCAGTTGGCAAAATCAATGGAGAATTTGATATCACGATCCATAGCCATTCCAAACGACCCAAGAAAACATCAACTCGAAGAATTAGAAACCCAAAAAGCTTTAATCGATCAAAAATCAGTCTCCCAAGTTCGAGGTGAGCTCTATTGTGGTCTCGGCTTTCTGGTAATCCAAACAATGGCGTTCATGAGGTTAACATTTTGGGAACTTAGTTGGGATGTAATGGAACCCATCTGCTTCTTCTTCACATCTTTCCACTTTGCACTCGCATACATGTTCTTCATAAGAACATCCAAAGAACCCACTTTTGAAGGCTACTTTCAACGTAGGTTTAAAACGAAGCAAAAGAAGCTTATGGAGGTTTATAATTTTGATCTTGAAAAGTACAACCAACTACGTAAGGCCTTTTATCCTACATGTGAAAATTTAAGTTTTCAAGATTTGGGTCAAGGAGGGAGGGGAAATACAGTTTTTGGTTAAGTTATATGTAAATAATTGGATTATGGTGTGGAGTTCTTGTCTCTCCTTTTTTGAGTAATGGGACTAATCCTATGCTTTTGACATGAGGTTTTTAGGTGCAACAATTGGTTTTTGTTGTATGACATAAAAGAGTTGGTGTAGATTTGTATAATGTTATACAATCAACCAACTTAGCGCAAAGAGGATGCGGAGGTGTTGGTTGAGGTTTGGATTGAGAAACCGAGTTGTATATGTGTAAAATATGATTGCAAACTCGGTTTTCATCTTATGTTGTTCTGTCTTTACAATATTATTTCATCGAACAAAATTTGGTTAATTGAAAATACTAATGATGACGGAAGGATACAGATTGGAATCACGGACATGGAATGGATTCACAGACAAGATGAACAAGAAGAACAATCTTTGTTGAAGTAATTGTTTTTGAAATTCTTAATCATAACTCTAGCCCTAATCAATCTTTAATTTATAAGGGAGGAGGGAGTCGTTCCACTGAACCCACTGCCATATCAGCTTTTCTCTTTCATTTTTCTTCATCTTTCTCAACCCACAACATACGACAATTCTATCTTTCTCAACCCACTCAACCCACTCAGTTAAAAAAAATACTAAACAATTAAGGTACAAATCTTAAAACACACGGTACAAGAGAAAATGAGAGAGAAAGTAGAGAGAGGATGAAGTGAGTTCGTGAAACCAATTAAACAACCGGCTAAAGAGGGAGTGGTACCGGCGATAACTCTATTGCTAATTAAGATTTTACCCTGATTATTTTGTATTTTTTTTTTAATTGAGTGGGTTGAGTGGGTTGAGAAAGATAGGATTTCCGTGTGTTGTAGGTTGGGAAAGATGAAAAAAAATCAAAGAGAAAAGCTGATGTGGCAATGGTTTCATTGGGTTCAGTGGGTTAGGAGGGAACGACTCCCTCCTCCCTAATAGACTATGTATATGCTCGCATGATAGTAAGAGTATGTGGCTAAAGTATATTGATTAAATAGTCAAATATGTTGGAATGTATTATGTTCACAAAAATAAACAACATACAAATAATATATTTTACGATTACTATGTGCTTACAAATTGAATATTTTTTACAGCGTTCTAACTAACGCTTCATTGTAAACAATGTATTTTTATATCAAAGTTTGGTTTATCATATCTTCATCTGTATCTAGAATGATTATACCAATTTTTTCTTAATAAATATAAACAATACTAGGTTATAACCCGTGGAAACCACGGTTGATATTTTTATAACTATTATAAAGACAAAAAAATATATCAACAAAAAATATTGTGTAATATTTATTGTAAGAAAACATTAAATAATGTGAAAAGTAACATATTTTCTTTGTATGCTAGGAGAATATGATTAACATTTTTTCTTTGTATATCGGTGGTGATTACCATCATCCAAAAAGAAATCAAGAAATTAATAGAGTTCTATATATAACAAAAGTTCTTGAGGTACCTAGAAAATTAGGATAGATAGTTGAAATTAGGGATGAGAATTTGGCTCGGATACCCGAACCGAATTAGGCTTGAATAAGCAATTCGATTCGGTTCCCGAGTATCTATACTAGTCTTATTCAGTTATCGGGTTACCCAAATAAGGGTTTATTCGGTTCTAAATACCTAGCCTGGAATTGAAAATTCATTTTTTTAATTGTATTTTTTCTTGCTACACCGAATTGGGTGTTGAATGTTTAATGTTTAACTTAGATACTTATATATGAATTTTTGGGTGTTTTGAGGTGTTTAATGTTTAGTGTTTAGTATCTTGCTTCATAACTATATCTCAAGATTTCGGTGTTTGAATTTTATATTCTTATATCTCAAGAACAGTTAATTCGTGTTTAGTTTCTTACTACATAGAGTCTTAACTTTTTTTTTTTGCACCTTTGAAACAATTATTTATATTTTACATTATTTTTTAATTAAAAAATATGTTTCTTTAAAAGATTTGTTATGGAATCATAAGCTATAAAAGTCATAAAAAATACAATGTTTATAATCATATTGTAAATGTTATCCGGGTTATTCGGGTTACAGAATCATAATACGGTTTATTCGGTTCTTTTCGGTTATCTTAGATTCTTAATCATCGTGTACATGTTATTCAGGTAATAACTCAACCGAACCGATTAATACCCAAACCGAACCGAACCCATATTGGTTATGTGGTCCGATGTTCGGTTCATGTAATTACCCTTATTTGGTTTTTGGGTTATTTAAGTTCGGGTCGGTTCAGTCCAGTTCCGAACCGAATAACATCCCTAGTTGAAATGGTGCTTAGTAGTATGCAATAGAAATACATCATAATCATATATCAACAAAGTGTAACAAATAAATTGAAACCACGCCATATATTTTTGGTTCTAAATGGACCAGAATAAACATTTTTAACTAAAGCAAAAAAGAAAAGGAGATGGAACGTAATAGCGTGCCCCCTATGCACGCAAAAAATAAAATGGACGAGCCACATGGCCAAGCCCGTCAACCTCCATGCTAGCCAAAACTCATTCCAGCCTGGACTAAGCCATCTCTCAATGACCGGAATCCGGCCTGGAAACCACGCGGGAAAGTCAGTATGTGACAAACCATCACCTACTAACTTCAGTACAGGTGCACACACCACTACCATGGCTAAGCCAATCACGGCTTAGGCGGGGGACAAGGTACGATCAACCAATCAATGCCTCTGTCCCGATCGAGGTCTAACACCACTGTCCTCACGAGCGGGATCCATCCCGAGATCCTCACTATAAAAGGTTTCATACCTTCAACAGTAAGGGGATTTGAACCCTAATTATCTATGCCTCACACTTTACATATAACTCTTTCTCTCAGAGACTGAATTGGCCGTCAGAGCGTTCTCCCAGGACCTCCTCCCGGAGATCGGCTGACGGCATGTTTACCTATTGTGATTGTAGACTTCCAATAGAGAGAATCCATCAAAGCGATTAACACACGCCGAAGGTCTGATATCACATCATTGGCAACATTTGATTGTTGAGACAACGATACTAAAAGCTTCAAACCTTAAAGGTCGATCATGGATAACGACAGTGAAGGAGGTACGAGCAACGTTACGCAAAACCTTGTCTAACCAATACCATCTTTAGACTCAGTCCTTACTGAAACAAGTCGGACAACCACCTCTATCGTCGTATATGTGCCTACATCAGGAATGCCGATAAATTAGTTCTGCGTACCCCCACTCACACCAATAAGGGAACAACAGTAAAACCCAAACCAGCTTCACTCAAAATATGGCACAAATATAAACCTCGTTACTCTCTGATAATGTGCCACCATTCACACCGCCACAGAAAGGAATGTATCCCTACATGCAAGCGCAACCAATACCAAACTTCCAACCAATCTACTCAACATCGGTGACATGACCGTCCCTGACTATGTCTTTCACCAACATGTCAAATATTCCACAAACAATAATCACTTCATCACCCCAGTCTTGTACGTTTGTATAATATTCTAACATGCCATTTTACAATGTTTACGCACAACCATTTCCTACGTTCACAAGCATGTTACACAACGCACATCAACCAAACTTCCCCACATTCCAACACACAACTTTCCCTCAAAACCAAGGAAACAACCACACAACTCCATCACACAAACATACATCACCACTCGTGACAAAACTACATGAATATGACATGCCTACTACAGCCAAACTCCCACACTTAAAAATATAGAGTGTAACAACTTGCCCATATAGCCATATCGACGCATATGAATGGCACATGCAGTCATTAAAACTAGACAAATGATTTTGGTGGACCCACTTTCCCACCACCCTACACAGAAACGCAGGGGCCTGGTTCAAAGGCCTAGCACCAAATAGTATTCGATGTTTTGCAGAGCTGAAAGAACTATTCCTCACCAACTTCATGCAATTAAGAAAATATAAGGGAGACGTAAGAGAAATAATTAGTTGCAAACAACATGATGGAGAATAGATATGAGACTATTCCAAATGATTTAATGAAGCCACACTGGATGTCCCATGGCAGAGCGACCAACTTGTCATTAGAGCCTTCACACATGGGCTCCTGCCTAGAACACTATCGAAAAAGTTCCTTGGAAAGATACCAACCACTAGGCAAGAAATGAACGAGAGACTCCAGAAATACTTACGAAAAGAAAAAGGCACAATAGCTAAAGAAGCATAGTTAAGGGAGGCAACCTCTCAGAAGGTAAAGCCAAGAGACAACCATAATGGCAATCAATCCAAGCGGGGATATGGAAACAAAATAGGACGCTTCCACAATCCTTATTGTCCGTACCAGAGGGATGATAAGCGATACAGATGCCCAGACATAATAGCCATCACCGACAAGTCAAAAGGAACCTGCAAATTCCTGGAAAAATCGTTGGATAGATCCACATACTGCGAATTCTACAAATGGCCATGCCACGACACAACCAAATGTAGCGTCCTAAAGAAAGAACTAGACGAATGCATTCACCAAGGAAAGCTTAAAGAGATAGCCATAACCCTAAGAGAATGAAACAACACCAGCGAGCCAACCGTAAGCGTAATCAAGGAAGAACGAAAAAATACAGAGAAAGGAGTAGAGATACTTGCCATTCGGGCCGAACGCCAAACAAAAGCACCAAGAGCAACTACATCAACCACGCCAAATACAGAGCTACATTTTTCACCACACGATCAAGTTCCCCCGCATTAGGGAAGATATGACCCTTTAATAATACAATCTCAGATAAGAAAACACGGCAATCCTTAGAGTGTACGTTGACGGAATAAGCAAGACAGATATCATATTTGAACATTGTTTCAGACGACTACGTCCCTAACGGAGGGATGGTATAGAACCATCACCAGGTAAATTAACTAGTTTCGCATGACATAGTGTCACATCATTAGGAGCAATATACTTGACCTTCACTCTAGCAGACGAGAATAACGTAAAGTGGAAGACAATGCTACTACACTTCTTTGTTGTCCGGACAGCATCCGATCACAACCTTATACTTGGAAGAACAGTAATGCTCAAATTCGGAGCCTTCGCATCAACCATCCACGATTTAATTAAATTCCCCACAGAAATGGGGGTAGCAACCATCAAATCCATCATAAGGAAGACCATTGACTGCAGTCATGTTATGGCACCCGACGAAATCACAAGAAGAGAAAAGATACCAAGAGAAGAAGAACCAAAAGCGAAAGAGGTAATACATGACAAGTATCTGAACCAGAAGATCAGAATCGGCTCCACACTACCCACCCAAACAAGAGAAAAACTACTCAACCTGCAACGACAATACTGATGGGTTTTGAGCACTCTAACAACCTTATGGTGCACATGCAACCCTAAATGCTTTGGATCTATGTTTT